ATATGTTGTCTTTATTTTACATATCTAGTTGGTTAAACTAAGCTCATTAACAAACTAATTAGCCCACTAATGAATTTGCCTTGTAAAGAGACTGTACACATTTGATATCTCAGTTTTGGCTAGCCCTGTAGGCTATTCTTTTCCAGCTGTACCCTCCAGCAAGTACCCTCTTCTGTTTTCTAAAGGTTTTATACTCCAGTTTATTCATTGACAATTCAGACAGAAACAAACAGACTGTGGCTGGCAAAGTATGCGCTACACTCGGGGCCTCTTAGCTTTGTAGCACACGTTGCTTTTAGCAGGCATTAGTCAGCCCTCTCGTAACTCTATTGTTAGAGATGAGCTGAGACACTCATATTAAAGAGAGACAGACAGGCGGACGGACATGTCTTATTATCACTGTCTCTCCTCACACTGACTCTGAAATGTTGAACTCTCGAGCCAACGTCAAATTAGGAGGAAGGGGAGCAGGCCATGCAGTCTTTACTTTTATTGCTACAGTCTATAAGTGTTAAAGCTGAGTCCCAGTTTGAAGAGGTTAGCATCATCATGTCTAAGATGGGGTTTTGTTGTACTGTGGGAGTGAACTAACTTAACCTTTTGCTTATATAATAGTTGATAAAACTATTCTTTAGGCCACTCTACTTAAAGGAACACAACATTTGTTTACATTAGTCATCGTGGTGTCTAAGGCCAGCTGTGATATGAATGCCAGACCGTACTGTAAAAGTGACTAAACCACTTGGACATTTTTCTTGTTCACTTGTTTTTCACAGAAGATATGACTTCCTTTCCCTCTGAGTTTGACTTTTGCTCTAATGGGATAGGGGAAGAGGCTCTGAGGAATTTAGGACAGATAAGAGTCATCGCACATCCATTTGTTAAACCGTCTTATCGTCCTTACACGTCAGCCAGCAACAGTTATGGTTTGTTACCCAAATGCAACAATATCCTGTTTTCTTCCCAAAACTGCTGAGCTGAAGTTTAAAAAGTGACAATCGAGGCTTTTCAATTGTGGTGTTTTAATCTGCTTTGGTGCAAAATCGTTCTCCATTGTCAGAATATTAAGGAAACAGTGAAAACACCTCTTTGTCCAATCCATTTGAGAAACTGAAACACTACATGATCAAATTAAAATAGTGCAGTCAGTAGAAGTACTTTATTATACATGATTAATTATAGGCCTCATATCTTTCATGTCTCTACTACTACTATTTTTTAAACTGTTTAAAAAGTGCTTCTCAAATAAATATTGTAATTTAAACCTACCTGAACCACTTTCTTCAAAATACACAAGAGTGACATCTAGTGGATATATACAGTTACTGCTTATGAAATAATTATCTTTACTGACTCAATTAATATTTTCTTTTGTTTAATATTTTAAATTTTTATAATTGAAAATAACTATATATATATTATTTAGCAAAAATAATACATGAATATATATATATTCATGTATTATTTTTGCTATAGGAGCTTATGATGCTTTATTACTTTACAAATCGGACTCTATGACCAACACATATTAAACCCAACGTACTTGTACTGTCCTGTACCTGTTCATATGGCAATAAACATCTACTTTGTTCTATTCTATTCTATATGATTCTATTCTATATGCATCTACATAGTGTGATCTCATCAAAGATTGTTTAATTGATTGATAAGAACAAGTGTGAAGGTCTACAAACTGTTTGTTTATATTTGACAGCTATGTTTGTATGGGACGGTGTAGGTAAAAGTAAGGGTGGACACTGAAGTTTGGAACCACTGATTTAGATTAGATTTAGACTTATGAGCAGACTTAAATAGACTTTATCTGATGTACCTGAATCACAAACAAAATATGTTGGTGCTAGCTGATTTATGTGTGTTTGAATTTAATGATGAATTCATTTTCTATGCTGCATGCTGACGATGCAGTTTAACTTAGCTTCTATACCAAGCATTAATGTGAAATCTTGCACAGAAATTTTATTATAGCTTTTGCTAACCCTTGTCACTTGACACTGTAATTGGGAGAATTGAGGGTTTCTTTCTTGTTTCTGGTTTCTTGTGGACATTTGTTACAGAGTAAATAAGACAAACATTGTTATATGTTTGCAGGGTTTAAGGATCGTCTTTAATGATGCATCGCGCCTGGTGTTTCGGATGAGCGGGAGCGGAGGAGGGATGGGATCCACCATCCGTATTTATGCTGAGAGCTTCGAGAGAGACCCGGAGAGACAAAACAGAGAGACACAGGTACGGACCGAGTGCAATGGTGTATCTGCTAGATTATTCATCTGTGTATTCATTGGTGTGTGAGAGTGAGTGAAAGAGAGATTTCTGTTTGTGTGTCCATCATCCCACATGTTAAATTCTGCTTCTTTTATGCCATCCAAAACAAGTGTATTGACATGCAGTGTTCTGCCAACTTAATCACTATACCACATGTAATATCAAATCTTTACTGAGAGCCAGTTGGACTGAGCTTGAGGTGATTTCTACAGGGTCACAAAATGTAAAGTTTTATTTAAGATTTTCTTATTGAACAAGAGGAATTTATACAGTTATTCAGAGCTCGAACATGAGAAAATAGAAAATCTCCAAAGTGTCCCTCCCAAATGATTCCAGTCATTGTTGAATGTCATGTGATTCTCTCTGCAGGTGGTGCTGGGTCCTCTCATCGCCATCGCTCTGAAGATCTCCAACATCCACGAGAGGACGGGACGCCGCGGCCCCAATGTCATAACATGAGCAGCCAGGACAAGCACACACACACATGCAAGCACACGCACACACACACACACGACTTCTACCTGCTCACACACTGAAAAAAAATCACCTTCAAAACACACATTCTTTGTCTGCTTATTTGGCTCTTTTTTAAAAAAAATCCTGTCTCTGTAGTTGTATTCTCATTTTTTCCATCCATCCTGATGACTCAACAGACTGAGTTTATGTTGTGCACTTTTATAACATTTGTTTAATGACCACTATCATCTGTTAGACATTGAAAACTGAAGAAATGATGTGTCCAAACCAGGGAGGTGATCTAATTATGAGCAAGGATAAATAATTAAACCAGTATCTAAACAGCAGACATAATAAAGGTGCAGACTGTTAATGTTGTGAGTAAGAGAGCCTGTAATTTTTCACTGTATTGCTTTAACCTGTCTTGTCATTTATATCTAATATAATTGTTTTTTCATAGCTCTTTCATGAACTGTTGTCCAAGTGTAAAATGAAACAGGCTATGCGTCATAACTAATTAGTTTACGTTGTTCATGCATATCTATATTTTAAATTTGTCATATTTGTGTTTACTACCTGATGGCAGGGTGCTCAAAATGTTAAAAAACAAAGAAAAAATAAGTAAATAGCAAATGACGTCTGAGGTGAAGAAAATATGTTTTTGTATTTTTTTGCTCATTCGACCATTTCTTTAATCTGCTGGTGTATGCTCGATAATGCTATTTGAATATGTTTTTTTCTTTTTTTTAATCCAAATAAACTTTTTTGTGTGTCTACTTCCTGCCTTTTGTAATTGAATATAACAGATACACATGCAACTACATAAATCTGAGATATTTTGTTCCTGGGGCATTTCTACATTTTAATTAAACAACTGCTCATAATTAGCCTGACCATGTTGTGCAGATAGCATGCATCATGTGGGGATGAAACTTCCATGAGGAGACGAGGGGTTTTTCTTCCCAGCACAGCACCTAGGTGTGAATTGTGCTGAGGCTGTTGTGTTGAGATACTGTAAGACAGAAGAGGGTTGAACTTTATATGGCCTGAATGAGACACTGAGAGCAGGAACTCATAAACACTCTGATTGCCGTCATTATGAGTTGAGGATATGCCAGTGGATATCCGCAAGGATGTGTTCACTCAGTCAGCCAGTCACAGGTTATTGCCCCATGCTTCTGTTTCACAATGTCAGGGGTTACTTCTGACTTTGGATGAGAATCAATCCCTTTGAATTTGTGGTTCAAGACGGTTTTTGTTTAAGATGATACAGATCACTAGTCACAGTCTAATAGATAAGACATTCTGTCAAAGTACTTAATTTAAAAAAAAGTTCCAACAACAATTTTTCATTAATAATGTGCATGAAGGTGAACAAGCTGCAAAGTTGCAGAACATTGTTGCTCCATATCTTTATTGTGGTGAACTTTTCAACTGAGCAGCGTGTGCTTAACAGAGAGAGAGAGAGAGAGAGAGAGAGAGAGAGAGAGAGAGAGAGAGAGAGAGAGAGAGAGAGAGAGAGAGAGAGAGAGAGAGAGCTCATAATCTATTAACAGCTTTAGGACATGTTATGGTGACTTTATGCAGGAAACATGTTCATTCAGCAAACACTGAAACAAAACTGCTTTCCCATACAATTTGGATATTATCCTCCTGAGAAATGTACAGTTTATAAAAATATATGTAAATACAGTTTATGAATTTATATATAAATATAGTTTAACAACATCAGATCGCAGAATCGATGCAAATAACTAAGGTTTATAGCCAAATTAAAAGCATGAACTTACCTTTGTGCTGTATGTCCAGAGATCTACTGAGCAAATGATGTTATTTTATCTATAAAACCAGTCCGGGCAGACCTCATTATACATGTGCAAACTTGTTTTTATCAAAGGTTGGGCTTGTCAAAGTCTCAAGTATTAGTTAAAAGAAATAAACATTAATTTGTCCCTTAATACAAAACAAGGAAAGAACACCTTGTGTCTTCTGCTCATATTTCAATTTACTATATATATATATATATATACCCCCTGTTTTTATTTTTATTTTAATTTTTTTTTAAATCATCTATTCTGTTTAATGTGTATTTTGAGCTTTCTTGTCTGTGCTGCTGTAAGGCCCGAATTTCCCCTCTGGGGATCAATAAAGTTTTATCCTATCCTATCCTATATGTTTAGGCAGTTTTTTCACCCTTGACCTGTCCAAGTCTGTAATGCAAATAAAAAATTAAATCCCTTTTAGGACTAAATTAAAGAGTGTGACTTTAATGCTTTACTGTTTATACAGTTATGATATACTAAGTTCATGTCTGACGGGGAACATTTTCTTGCATACTTTTTCATTTTTCTAATGTAAATGCATTTCATTTATTGTTACAAAAATCAATTACATTTCTGTTAAATCAAATTTAAAATGTGTTTGTTTACAAATGATTTTGCCTGATAAGAACATTAATCTACAGCCAATTTATCTTTGAAGAATAATCTGTTGATCAATGTTTCTTTAGCATACATTGAATAGTTTTTTTCCACACACTGATCACAAACACTACATCATGATGTAACAAAACAGCTGCATATACACACAAATCACCCTGAACACAGGTGTAGCTTCACTCATGCCAATGCAATGATACTACCCAAGTGGATTTATACTGTTCTTAAACCAACAAGCAGCGCTTCAAGTCAAACATGCAGCAGCTGCAACTGTGCTCTGGGACACCTGAGAGGAAGTCACTTGAGCTAAAATGACTTCAAACCAAAGTTAAACCAGACAGCTTGTAACATGCTCACATGGGCAGCACAGACATAAGAGTTGAGAGGTTGGCCCACACTCTGTAGACCATCATTTATTACAAGAGTCATCTGTCCATGTGTGGAGTCATCTCATATTTCTAAGCCCCTTTTCTTTTCTCAGTCAAAAAATAAATCTCTGATCCTTCATTTTCCTTCAGTCTGTCCTTCAGGGTACAGACGACGCCACTCTTTGCTCCTCCTCTCCCTGCAGAGCACGTTCTACCTGACTGTACTGAGGAGGTCGCTCCCAGCTCCACGTACAGTCTGGAGCCTCCGAGCTGTCTGTGCTGTACAGAGGAGGAGCGAGGATCACCACATCCCCCCCGTCAACCTCCACCACAACCTCAGAGGGTGTATCACGGGTCACCTGGCTGTACTGGGACTCCTCGTATGATGGAGGGAAGAAGCTCGGCCTGCAGAAGAAAAGACACAATAAACTTTATATCAGTTTAAAGGCATGTTTTTTTGTTTGCCAGATGTTGAAGTTTCATAATCAAGCTTCACTTTCTAAACAAATGTGAGGCAGAATCAGTGAGGAAGGTCATGGGACTTCTTTCGTTTCTCTAACCTTGTTGGGTCACTATGAGGAAGTGGTATTATCGCTGTAACTGCTAAATGTCTATTTATTTTTGTTAATTATTAGAATGGCTGAATGTGCAGTATTACCAGTGGCCTCTATTGTATGTGTTGATCTTTAAATCAATTAAAGCAATAATCATTGAAATAACTTTTGCATACACAATGCACAGACTTTCAGGGAAACCCTATTTGTATTACTTCTTTTTTAAAGTTTTATTGTATTGTATTATTGACTAAATTATTGTTATTATTACATCAATCAACTTACAGTCAGTTTTGAAAGCCCAGATAAACAGATCATTTCTTATACAGTCTTATGTGCATGTTTCTTACGTTGTCTGAATTTGAAAGAAAAAAAAAAGCAGACATTTTCCTGCAGCTCAAAGTATCCAGAAAAGTTAAATATCTTAAATTGATATTGATATTAAAAAAATGTTGTATCATCATGTGTCATTGTCCATTATTTTTTATACATCTGACAGGGAATCAAGAGTAGTAATTGATTGTTTGAGCTCCCTGTTATTTAAAGATGGAAATGCTATAACTCAATTTGACTAAACCAAAATAAATTTGAGTCACTTTGCCATTTTTTTTCCAGAAAAATGTGATAATTTACTAAATCCATGACAATGATTTTTCACTGTAAAGCTTGCCTCTGTGCTTATTGAATTATCTGCTGGTTGTATACCTTTCGATGGCGTAGACCTCGATGTTTCGTTCTCCTCCTCCTCTTCTCCTGTATATCTTGCTCTTCATGCTGTGGCAGACGGTCCAGAAGGCCCCTCCCAGCACAGCCAGAGCTCCGAGCCCCATTAGGATGTAAGCAGGAATGAACCTCCAGAGGAGGCTGCCCTCAGGCTGCTGGGACACCAGGTAAGATCCCAAACAGGTCAACGCAAAGCCCACCAGAGGCAGGAACGTACGGGCCAGAGACCACAGCTGCTTCTTCATAGTCATGATCATTTAACTCCTAATCACCAGGTATTTATTTTCTTCTTTTACCTTCCTCTGATAGAAATATTCTTCTTACCAAGTCCTGATGACACTGACACAGGCAGGAGGTTTTTAAGGAGGACTAAACTAAGACTGAGACAATCTAGACCTGCCAGGACACAAATACATTATTTTCAGAAGTTTCACAACAAACAAATGTAGCTGCAGTGGAAGGTGTGTGTGTGTGTCTGCAAACGTCTTCAGACATGAGGGGAGGTGGCTGAGATGTTACGGCCTCCTTCGGTTGTATATTAACACAGAATGAATCTGGGGTCAGAAGGAGAGAGAGAGAGAGAGAGAGAGAGAGAGAGAGAGAGAGAGAGAGATCGCAAAAACAAACAAAAAGGGAAGTGCTGACAGTTGATAGCGTGACAGGCAACATCCGACTAAACTTCTAAATATAGGTGTGGACTTTGGTCTCAACATTTTGATTAAATCTTCTAAAAGTGATTGTGAGGTGTTTGAATCAGTTTTTATTTATTTGCCAGATAAAGTTTCTACAGTCAAAAGAAGGAAAATCACATTTAATTAAAGCTCCTGTGAGGTGTTTTAAAGTAATAACCAGCAGAAGAGAACATCAGAAAGAAGATTATTTCTATCGTGTGTTTTTTTAATAACCTATAACCGCTGCCACAGGGTAGGTGTCAGCAAATAAGCACAATAAGTGATAAATTAGACTGTTAAAAGAAAGCAGGGTGAAGTTTTTTGTCCTAAAAGTTGACCAACGCATGTACAGGACAAGATCAGCGAAGAGAAAAGACATACCACTTTGTCCACAAGGGGGCACCAAAGTCAACACAAGCAGAAAGATCCTCACGGGAGCTTTAAGAGGGAAATACTAAAAGATGGACTCACAATAGAAAGATCATGGATGTTTTGTTCTTTGAATATTTTTACTTAACTGATTGTCTTTAGTTTAAACATGATTTGCATGAACTCTGTTCACTATATCTGTAGTCTTCTTGATCTATTTTGTATTTTCATTTTATATTTTTAGTCTACCTTCCATTGTCTTTGCTGCTCCTCATTTTTTCTTCATGCAACTGCTCCATAGGTCTTTGAATCCCCCAGATTTTAAGAATTGAATTGAAATCAAACACTCAAAATTGTGTATTTAAAACAGTATTTCAACAATGTAACTGAACCTTTTTCTTAAGTAAATGTTTTTTATTCTTTGTTGTTTTGTATTTAATCCTACACCTGTACAGGTTAAGATGGAATACTTGTTTCTTTCATCATCTGTTCATATTGAACCCTGCACAGTTGTCCTTAATATTAGTTCATCCACTTGCTTACAAACTGATGATTATATTGATGCTTGTATTTTCTGATTTAAGAAGTACAACTTTTCATCCATGATACTTCAATACTTAATTCTAATCAAACACGGCACACAGGAACGAAATGATTCTTCCAGATTTTAGAAAAACCCATGACATTTTCTTTTCAAATCTTCTAACTATCAGTTAAATCACCGACAGTATTGAACCAACAACTCATGAACATTTGACAGAAATTCCTTCTTTCTTTCTCTGAATTTACAGTATCTTACAATTCATAGTCTGATAGACTCAAGGGACTTTGCTAATTAAAAAGAAAGAAACATAATAATGCTTCAAGTGATGTGTCGATTGTTCTGATAAGCAAATCATTTTTTTTTTAATCTTGAGGATGCTAGAAGACCTTATTTCCAGCTTTACAACATGAGGTGAGCGCAGAGTGTGAGGCTGTATGCTTTGATAAAATGTTACAGAAATGAACAATATTTGTCTCTGACTCTGCGCTGTTCAGAAGTCAGGAGGTCATTCGTCCATAAACCTGGAAATGCCATGACAGTGCACATGCTAGCCAAACAAATAAAGTTTGGTAAACTTTATTAGATTACAACCAGCCGCAATGTTCCAACTGCTTTTTACACTACAAATACGACTTCCTTGTTACATAAAGTCGAATAAAAAAGTATCTGATGGTCAGGCCGCACAGACGATCGGGAGCTCGAAACACCGATTCATACACTTCCCAGTGAAGTCATCTGTTGATTGTTTTTAAACTTTCATATGCTTATGTAGAAGATATTTCTGTGTTAATACAAATTATGTTGAAAAATAAACGTGTTTGGTTGATCTTGTCTTGGAACAAATCGGACAAATCATAACTTTTGTAAAGCTCTAATGTTTGTTGCTCTTTAAATGTTTAAATGTTCGAAGCTCTGCAGAGACGGATACAAACACTCTTTAAATAAATAAAAAACCCTAAAACAATAACAAAGGTTAAGTAAATGTAGATCTAAATAAAATATAATAGTTTTAAATTATTTAGCAAAATATGCATAACTTTATTTCTTGTTCCTATTAAAATACAACCTTTAATGTCTGGCTGGGGGAGAATGGGACACAATTGCCAATGAGGTTTTTAAAAAAGTCACCCTAGAGTAAAACCATGAAATAATGAGTGATTAAATGGGAGAGGGAAAAAAGGTAAATCCAATAAATTAATAAATAAGCTCCCTTTCCTACTTGCCTCACTGATAGGCAAGAGTGACTTTAATATCCTCATTCTCTGAGGTTATCATGAATGACATTTCTCCACACTCCCTCTGCATTTGTTTTAAAAGAATCAGAGCTCTTACTGGCACTCTGAGAGAGTGATTCTTTAATGGACTTTATCAGTCTTCTCAGCCTGGAATTAATCCCCTGAGCTCAGCTCGATTAGTATCTACATCTTTCAACACACACATGTTTCTCTGACAGGTGAACACACCCGTGATCATTGTCTGCTTATTATAGCACTTATTAGTTCAACTCAGGCTGTAAATCTTTGCGGCTGATCTACACATTCAGCAGTTTGATTTGATATTTATTGGCCTGTCAGATGCCACACTGGTGCAGACACTTTACTCTGTTTAGAACATGATATGTAAGACTAGCAACATGATCCTAAAGATAACACAAAGATAACACTATCTTCCTCGTCGTTATCTCAGTTCGTCTGGACTGATATGGGCTGACCTGTGTGGGAAAATAAACTCCTAAAAAACAGCAGAATGACTCTGCAGTGTGCTGCATGTTTAGTCAGCAGGTAATCACAGACAAGTGTTCACCTTTGCTGTGGTGTAATTTTCCATCTGGGATTGCACTTTTGCTCAGGGGAATTTTTACTGTCTGTGTTGTTATGACAAAAATAAATCCTTTTTTTAATAGTTTTTTCCCCCACTTTTCCTCTTGAGCCTTGTGTTATTTGCATAAAATTACAGTATGTGGGTGTTTGTTTTTGGGCCTATTGTGGCCACACTGGAGCTGCTGGTCATATATCCACCTGTTTGCCGCACTGCTGAAGTTGCGGGGAAAACAATAAAAGCAGACTCATTATAAGGGCTTCTATCATTAACAGATTAGTTTTCATTAACTCTGTTATTATTAAAGCTTGACATCTGCTCCGCACAGTAGCTGGAAGACACAAGTTTGAGAGGAATTGTTGTTTATACTCGAAAGACAAGAAACTGATCATCAAGTATTTTCTCAAAATGCTCTTCTGTTTTTTTAAAAAGTCAGATTCAGCTGGCCAAGCGGTTAGTGGGTGACCATGTACAGTGACCAAGCTCCTGTAAGTGGGCGGTCCAGGTTTGAATCCGACCTGTGGCTCCTTTCCACACTCGTGCATTCCATTCCCCACCCTCCCTCGACCCACTTTCGGACTCTATCAACTGTCTCTCTAAATAAATGCATACAGTGACCAAAAATAAACCTTCAAAGAGTCATTGAGCCCTCATGCACTGAATGGAGGACTTTGCATAAGTTACCTTCCACCACACATTCATTCAGGTTTTTCATTTGGTCCCTATCTGTTCAATTATTTACTGGAAACTACGATCCAGGTTAATCATTGGTACAGTCTTTGGTGGCCCAGGAAAAGGTGTTGACAGTGAACCACAAGTTGCTTCCTCAGTCTGAGTCTGGGTCTGGATAAGGGTCTTTGTTGAATGTTGTAGTAAGTTGTAGTTTCTTCTTCACAGCGTGATATATATTTTTGCTGCTAGCCCTTTAAAACTTCAGGTGTTCTCGATCTTTACTTAAAGCTGCTGTGCGGAGTTTTTAACCCGGTTATGAAACAGACAGTAATGAATAAAGATGCCTCTTTATGACCTATAAAAGCTAATGAGACCATAAACCTAGAGACTGAATGTTCCTACATTCCTCCTTATTAATGCTTGAAAGCTGGTAGGAGTCACATGATATTTAGTTAATAGTTGCACTTACACAAACATCCCTTAAGATTCTCCATGAGTGATACATTTGTCAGTTAAAATGAAGAAGATTTTTGGGCATAAAAAAACAAACCTACACATCTATAGGACCAGATAAAAATTTTAATTGAATGGACTTTGTTTTATTCCACCACTTTGGGAGTTTCTGCTGATGTAAACAACTCATACATTTATCGTGCCATCTGTGAAACTACAAATTAAGCTCTCTCTCATACACACACACACACACACACACACACACACACACACACACACACACACACACACGCCTTCTTTTAGACCTCATTATTGAGTGATAATTATAGACAGAGAGCCATTAGTTGTGAGGGACGGAGTGAAGGGTCGGTTATTAATCAGCTGGACTCTGATGAGGAGCTGCCAGACTCTCTGTCATTAATACACATCAGGGTCAGACTGCACACTCAGCACTACACAAAACCCCTCATTAAATGATCTCCAAATTTATAGTGTCTCACACACACACACACACACACACACACACACACACACACACACACACACACACACACACACACACACACACACACACACACACACACAGGATTGAGAAACAATTTATAGGATTGTTTAGAAGGCTGTGTTTTATATACCTGGTCTGTTTTTGCATATGATTGAGTGTACAGTAGATATTTGCAGTTGTAGTACCAGGAGAGGTCCAGTGGGGGCAGTGCTACATTATTTTATTGCACTGAGGTCACTGGCTGAAGTGTGTAAGAACCCTGCAGCACTGCATGGTGAAACCATAATAAGACAAGACCGAAACTATGAAAATAAAGTCAGTTCTTGTGCCATGCTTAAGTGAAAACATCTCTTTTGTTTTGGTCCTGGAGTCCCATATGTATCGCTAACCAGATCCATTTGGAGACCTGGTTTTTATATCCATGATGCTCTTTTTCAAAGGGGATTGCTGTTGAAATGTTCCCCTATTTTGTCAGGGATTATAAATCT